TGAAACTCTTAACCTTTTTATAGATGATATTAGAATGTTTTAGATCAGCATAAACAGCTGAGTCGACGGGAAAAGTAATAACAATAGTTATTCGAATGCAGCACAAGACTTTTGATACAAAACTCGGCCAAGAAGTAGACATACAAAAAAAAAAAGTGTATATATGTTGTTCCGTTTTCGGCTTGTTTAAATAAGTGTGAAGCAACGGCTGTTGGCCTGGCAATAGCCAGGTGAGCAGCTCACCTGCGCAGGTAATTGTGCTACAAATTTGTTGGCTATCAATGCATGGCATAGGCCACTGACCAGGTGAATTCCGAGTTGCATGCTTATCACAATGCGCATCATCATTGCTCACAAATGTTGTTGCTCTGCTTGTTGTTGTTAACAAGGCTTTCATAATTTGATTAGCGACATAGGCAGAGGCATTTGGCTGAAAAGATAAGCGAGCCATACACACGCACACACACACACACACAGAGAGAGAGTTGCTGGCAAGCGTCCAAAATGTTCGCATGAAGCAATTAAATGCAAGTCGGTAGCTGCCCAGCGGCAGCTGTGATCAAGTGCAGCTGCAGCTGCTGATCATTAAACTGGCAAAGAGCCAACGGCCAACAGCTCGGGGCCACGTTAATGAAGTGTCGGCCACATTGCTGCTCGCTTTAAGAGCTGGACGCGTTTTTCAATTGCAACCACAAAACTTACTCACTAATGCTCTCTAATTGAAGTCTGGCGCGGGGCAGCCTTAGCTAAGTGCCAGCCCCTGCCCAACTGCGCCCGTCTGATTGACTGATGGGCAGCAGCAGGGGCAGCAGCAGGAGCAGCCCCTCAGTGTGCGCTGTGCGGTTTTGTAAATTATCTTCATGGCCAGCAACGAGTCAGGGGCAGGGGCCACAGCGAGTGAACGCCAGTGGTCAGGCACTTGGCTCTGCCAGTTTCTTGCCAGCTGCATGCTCGGCTCCTGGCCAGGTCCTTACAGGTGGCGTCCGCCCGCTACAGCAGACACATGTGCTAGCCCCCAGCCCCTGCCCCAGTCGCCAGTTGCCAGTTGGCAGCAATTGAATGTGGCTCGGGCAACCAACGACAAACGACACAAACGTCCAGTTCTCGTCCCTATCCCGGTGTCCTTTGTCCGTCGTCTGTCGTTTGTCGTTTTGGCCAACGTTCTGGGTTTCTGGTTCTGGTTCTGGGTTCTGGTTGCGGTCTTGTGTGCTGCGTGGCAAAAATAATTCTATTTGCTGGCTTCTTTGCTTATCCATTCAACGATATTTATTTGACTCGTGAAACGGGCATTAACTCATGAGCTCACACCGTGTCCCGGCCCGATAATCCGACTCGGCCCGTCAAACAGTCAATTGTCGTGGGCTTGGGTTTGTTAAACAGTTTGCCAAATACTTTAAAGTGTTCTTTTGATTTTGGCCCGACTCCCGCTGACATTTGATATGCACGCAGAGTCTGCAGCTTGCAGCTTATTTGATTACGCTTTCATTTCACTTGGACTTGGCGCACCCAAACACATTTAAAGCCAACAAATTTGCTGCCTTTAAAGAGAAGATCGAATATTTCGCAGCATGTTTATACCCTGAACCCATTAAAAATGGGTATAAGGGTATATTGTATTTGTGCAAAATCAAAATGTGTGTAACAGGCAGAAGAAAGAATCTCCGACCCCATAAAGTATATATATTCTTGATCAGCATCAATAGCCGAGTTGATCTAGCCATGTCCGTCTGTCTGTATGTAGGAACGCAAGGATCTCAGAACCTATAAGAGCTAGAGACTTGAAATTAGATGTAGATGCTCCAAGTGCACGCGCAGATCGAGTTTGTTTCCGATATCCGATAACTTGCTCCGTTTCCAAGCAATCGATAAAAATCGATATCGATATCCTGTTTTTTGGGCAATTTTGGTAAATAATAAGAGCTAGAGTCACCAAACTTGACATATAGCTTCTAAAATAGAGTATCTATATGCATTTGATGTTGAACGAGGAGGGTTCAGGGTATCCCCTAGTCGGGAGCTCCCGACTAGAACCTCTTACTTATTTTTTTTTTTTTAGTTTAGATTAGGTTTCGGATTTCGTGCGCTCTAATTAATCAATGAGCAGAGAGAGAAACGAAAAATTGTATATATATAAGAAATAGGTCAGCAAAACGCATCAATTGAATGTGTGAAATTTAATGCGTGTCCTTCCACTAAATTAGTCAGTGAAAGGGCAACAAGGATGTTTGTTGGTTGCATCAATTAAATATCCATCTGCATATGTTGTGCGTTTGATAGCAGGCTCTATAAATATTGTATTGTGTTTTGTAATGTCTTGAGCAATGTCTTAACGTTAAATCTATTTACTAATTGGCTATAATGTTGGCTTAAACGATGACACAGTCGAACGAGAACGATAAGAAAGCTCTGCCCAGGGCTAGACACTGGCAATGTCTGCCGACTGTGTTAATTCAATAGAATGTTGAGTAAAATTGATTGATTAGCTGCCCAAGTAGTCGCACATTGTCCCCCCCTCCCTTTCCCACTCCCCCTCTCTCTCTCTTGCGTCGGTTGCAGTTGCTCGACCCCGCGCACCCCGCTATCCGTGCCACATATCGCATGCAGTAAGCAACTCGACTGGCTGGCTGTTGCACTAAGCTGTTTTCTGGTGTCTGCTTTTGTTGCCGCATTTCTGATTCCTTTTGCCAGCGCATTTCTTGTTGTTGTTGCTGTTGTTGGAGTTCTTCTTGTTCTGGCTCTTTTTGCTGTTGCTATTTGGCTGCTGTCTCTTGCTGCTTTCACAATTGTCTGTGCATTATTTGAGCTTGTGCCGGTATTTGTTATTTAGCTTTTATCCCTTTAGATCAGGACGTAATGCGATTGTGTGAGGTACGCGTTGCAGCGCATCCCCATAGCTTCAGTTGCAGCCACCTTAGACACACACACACACACAGCTAGAGCGACTGACAGAGGGTTTTCCCAGTGGCTGGCAAGATGTCATGCTGCGTGACAAAGATGGCCGTCAGCGTAAAGCATACAAAAATACACGCATACGTTTTAAAGCTCGCCCTATCTCTCCCTCTCTTTCCCTTTCCTTCTGACACAAATGACAGCAGATCAGCATAGCAGAACGCCTCTCGCTCACTCTTAAGTTATTAACTGTCCATCAGCTAATGAGCGTGTTAAACAAAGATGGCTGCCAGCTCGCGTACGACACACATATATGCAAGCACTCTACACCTAGCGCAGTCTCCACTCTCGCTCTCGCGCTCAACAGCATGCACATCTCTTCTCTCCTGCAGCCTCAACCCAGAGCTGATCGAAATTCTACACTCCACATATTCTTTCCCACGCTCTATTATGCACGCTCTCCACCAGCGGCCATCATGCCAAATGGATGACTTTATAAATGGCGGCAGATCGGCTCTACACACGTGCGCTCCCACTCCCACTTCCAACTTCGCAACGTGTGTGCTTTAAACGCGCACTGGCTAACTTGCTCTCTCTCTCTCACTCACACGCCGTATTTGCTGTCGCTCCAATTATATTGTCACGCATTAATGCCTGTGCATATTTATTGTGTCTGCTGAGCCAAACATTTTGTTAACCTTCTACCCCCCGCATTGGCCGCTTCATTCATTCATTGTGTGTCTCTGTGCATGTCTGGCATTTTGCTTAGTCCTTTCCTCAGTGTTCAATTAAAAGCCAGTACGCAGCTCAGCTGGACATCAGGTGCATGTTTGCCTGTTTGTCATTTTGGCTGCTTGCATATTTGATTTGTGCATTTAAACATTTCAAACAGCACCAAACCAAACTAAACCAAACCCCCCCTCCCCGCCACCAATACGCCGCTCGCCAACCACCATCTGCAGCAGCGACGCCTCATCGCAAATTCTCTTTAGAGCAATTTTAGTTATTATATTGCATTGGCTTTGTCCTTGTTGTTGTGCTGCTGCTGTTGTCGTTTTTGCAGGCAGCTGCAACTTGACGTCCACCTTGCATTACTTATTTATTATTGAAGATTAACAAGCAGCTATTTCGGCCAAGCCAGCAGCAGCTGACAGCCAGCCAGCCAGCCAGCCAGCCATCCAGCCAGAACCAAGTGCCCAGGCTCAAAGCCAACATCAACATCAACGTCAGCGGCAATGCGGCCTTTGCCTTTTTGCCCAGCCTGGAGTTTTGGGCAGTGGGCTTAACAGCTAAGCACTGAGCTAGAGCAGAGGCTTTGAGCCGCAGCCAGTTGTCTGGCTCATGCCAACTGTCGATCTAACCGGCCCCCCCTCCAACCTAACCCGCCCTCTCTCAAAACACAGCACGCTGCTGTCTACAGCTGCTAAGCTGCGCATCAATTTTGCATGCCAGTCGTTACTCTCCCTCTCTCTATCGCACTCTCGCGCCCTTATGCTCTCTCTTTGGTTGTGTGTAGGCTTTGCGTTTGTTAAGCTATATGCATCTATATAGTTATCTGTATTTTTAGTAAGTCACAAGTTTTAAATGTCGCATTGCTGGCAGCTGCAAATGAAACTCGCACAATTGTCATTGCTTAAACTAACTAATGCTCTCTCTCTCTCTCTCTCTCTCACTCTCTTTACAGCAGCAAGTGTAGGAGTTGAAGCAGAGCGTCGGACACCACTGGAAGCAGCAGCAGAAGCATAAATAAATATGATTAAGCTAAAGAATATATAAAAAGAAAGTTCAAATGAAATAACGCAATATAAAAACATAAATAAGTAAGCAGCAGCAGCAGCAGCAGCTAAAGAAGAAAAAGAAGAAGAAGTAGAGGAAATAGCAGCAGCAGCAGCAGCAACTGCGGCCAAAACGCAACGAGCCAAAGGCAAAAGGCCAACTGGCAGCTGGGGAGCAGCAGCAGCAGCAGCAGCAGCACTTGGGCCGTTCGTCTGTCTGTCCGTCCGTGCCGCCGTCCGTCCGTCCGTCTGGCTGGCTGTTGCCAGTGTGTGCAAGCGAGATAGTGAATCGAGCTCAATTACGCCGCCAAACTGTCGTGTCAGCAACAACGTGAAATGTGCAATTCCTGGCTGCTGCTCATAATTGCGCTCACTGTTGTCTGCCTGTGGAACTCGCAACAAACCGAAACATCCAAATCATGCCCAGCCGAGTGCATCTGCTTGTCCCAGACTCAAGTAAGCTTAACAATGTCTCTCCCTCCCCTCCCCACCCCCTCTCTCTCTCTCTGACACTCGCTCGCTCTCTCTCTCTCCCTCTTTGCCCCTGCTCTCGCTTGCTCTTTGTAGTTGTTCCACTTGTAGTTTTCATAGTTGTTGGCTCTGTGCAACATCATCATCATCATCATCATCATCATCAGCATCATCATCAACATCATCATCATCATCATCAGCATCATCATCAACATCATCAGCATCATCAGCATCAGCTAAAGCAAAGAAAACTGTAGCTGCTGCCCTATAAAGAGCTCGTCTGGGGGATCCCCGGCCTGGTCAGACTCTTTGCCACACACACTCGCGCACACACACACACACACACACACTTGCGCACAGCTGCTTTCTGCGCCCAGTGATGAACACGAACAAAAAAAAAAAAAATTAAATCGAAAATGCTGGGAAAAATGGTCATTTTCCTTTGTTTCAAATCCACACTGCATCCACGCTGGGTTGGGCCGAAGGAGTGGTGAGGGGAGGGGGGGGGGGGGGGGGTGGTGCAGGCGCATTCCACTTGTTACATTCGCTTCGTGCGTCCGTTTGTCCGTCTCCCAGTGCCGTTTCTTACATTTCATACCCTGTACCCATGGCAAATGTGCCCGACGCTAGGGTATATACTGCACATAAATATCCATGCCAGATCGGAGCAACGAGTAATCGATATATTCTTGGCCATAAGAGCTGTAATTTGGTATCGATAACAATCGAAAACTATCGATTATAGAATAAAACCGGTTCTGGAAACTCTGTTAGCCACAGACACATAATTGAAATTTAGGATCTTATATTGTATAAAATCGTTCGATAACCGCTGCCAAAATCGATAACTATCGAATTCGATAACTATTTATAGTCGATATCTATCGAGTTCAGATCGCGTTTCTTTAGCATTTTTAAGAGATAAAATGAGCTACATAGATTAGCAGAGATAAACAGCTAGCACTTGCTCAAGATCGATAACTATCGAATTTCGATAACTACCGACTTCAGGCCAGGTTTTTGAGCACTTCTTAGAGATCACATCGACAACATAGTCCAAATTTGAAGTTAAGCTACTTTTAAATTCAAAATCGTCAACTAACGAATTTCGATAACCTTCTGTTTTCGACATTCATCGATTTTAGGTCGCTTCTTTGAGGCATATCTAAAGTATTAAAGGAGTTACGTATATCGAATTTGTTATTTAGTTTCACTTAAAGCATATTTCACGTTTTTGTAAACTATCCCAAAATCTTGAAACTACTTGAAAATACACCACGCGAGTCTCTGGACTTTCGCGCTTCTTGAACTGCGTCAGCTCAACTACTAAAATGTAAAATTGTGAGCTTTCTGTTCAACAATTTTGACTTCAACATCGCCCCAATGCACTTCCATGTTGGTACGATTTTTATGCGATTCGTGTTTGTATAGGGTATCTGCTAGTGGGCTGCTCTCGACTGTTGCACACTCTTACGTTTTTATTTTTTATTGTTGTTGTGTGTGTTTGCCAGCCTCGTATTCAATTGTCTCCCGTGAGAATTTTGCGGCCAGCTGCAGGCAGAAGCAGGCAGTCCGCATCCCCTTGCCACGCCTCGCTTAATGCGCATCCTTATTACCAATGGGGCCGAGAGCGCTCGGTGCCCGGCGCTCGGTGCTCGGCGCTGCTGGCATCGTCATTTTTACAAAATTGAGAACTTAAGTGATTTCATTATTCCAGATTATGAACAATGAAATGATTTACTCAGCACTCGACAAGACAACAACCCGTCAGAGGCAAGAAAAACCCAAAAAATTAAAATGACAAAAAAAAGCGAAAAACAAAACAAAAAACGTAAATAAATTGAGGCGAACTGGCGAAGTCCTTGCTGTACTTAAGATTCGTTGTACTTGCAGGTCAGGTGTTGCCTACTTTGAGGCCAATTCGAGTTCAGCTTAAGGCCGGGCTGGGGTCGGGGTCGGGGCCGGGTCTGCGGCGCGTGAAAAGTGTGAAAAGCTGAAAAATGTGTCGCTGATTTTGCTGTTGCGAATACGAAATTTCATTAAATCGAACAAGAAAGAAAAACCCAAACAAAACAAATAACAAGCATAGCTGCCTTCTGCGGCGCACCGAAAATGAAATACGCTTCCGATGCCTGAAACTGACAAGGTTTTCCCACAACAAATACATACCTGACTCTGATGGGTTTATTCAGGCCAGGTTTTCTTCGGATATGTGGAAAAACAAAGCGTTTTTCACGCAACAAGTCCAATTTCGAGAGATTGATTTTAATTGAGGAGCTCGATTCGTTTGATTACTAACAGTATGAATGTTGATATTGATTGAGAAAATACATTTATGCAATAAACATAAAATATATAGAAATATAAATAGGCAGCTGCTTTCGTAAGTATCGTGACAGTATTATCGGAAATAAATATTGACTTCTCGCGGTGCACAAATATTTCAGCTGCAATCTTTAGACGAGGCCCACAAAACTATTTCGGGTGTCTCCAGCTCTTATTGTGCCCGAGTTCGATGAGTTTGAGGCATCGGACAGGGTATATAGGGTATACGGGAAACATAATGGAATGGAACAATGCGGAATGAAACGCAGCGAAACGTATTGAAACGAAACGTTGGGGCATGCGACAACAAAGCATGCACATAAACAACTCTTAAACGAAAAAAACACAAACAAAGGCGAACAAGAAGAAGAAGTAGCATATGAAAAAGAAAATGAAGAAGAAGAAGAAGAGCTGGCAAACTGCAAGAAATGAAACTTTTAATTCGTTCATTTAAAAGGTGAAGCGTATGAAAATTGTGTAAATGTTACGCAACTCCGACAAACGCAAATGCAGGGGGCGGCAGATGGGGGTTAAAGTCTAACGCCTGGATAGAGGGGTATGCAATGATGGACAGTAAAAGCGAAGGACAACTGAGCTGGGCGCGGGGTCGGCATAGGGGGATAGACAACGATGACATCAACGTGACAGCGACAAGCGACGCGACGCGACGCGACGGCAGATAGACAGATGGCCGGGCAAAGGGACGAACAGATAAGGCATCAGAAGGATGAACCGGAAGGAGGATTGGCTACAGCGGACATTGTTGCGATGACTATGACGAGCGAGATGTTGTGTATAGGGGAGGGGGAGACGGGCAGAGGAGAAGGGGAGGGGGGTAGGTCTCCCTCTCTACAAACGCACACATCAGCACATAATAGTTGTAAAAAATTAAAGCGCAAAGCAGAGACGCGACGCGAAATGCGCGAGCCAAAACGTAAAACACAAAACAATGTGGGGCGGAAGGGAGAGTAAGGCGGGAGGGGGGGTGTGTCTGCAAGTAGGGCCAAGCGAGGTTGATTAAAAAGAACGCCGAAAAAATTGAAACGCAGCTACAAAACAGAAGAAGAAGCACCAGCAGCAGTGGCAGAGCATTAGACAAGCGGATACCCTATAAACACAGCGTCTTAGAGTGTGTGTATGCTTGTGTGCGTGTGTGTGTGTGTGCGTAGCCAAGCTAAGAGGGAGTGGCGGTTTCCTATAACTATGATATGGATATATAATGCACATATAAAAACTTAAAGGAGGACTGGGTGTTTCCCATAGATATTCTAAAGATATATATATATATATATAGATATCCAGGTATACTTATACATACATATATCATACGCATCATGGATTTTCAGAGGCTTTAAGGTTCTGGTATATAGGGGAATGGAAAGTTCCTATAGATATTATATAGATATATACGTATATGTAAAAGACTATATGTCTATATATACACATTAGCTGTGATCATCATCAGCAGTGATTGTCGATAATTATCGATTTTCAAGAAATAGCTAATTTATAGATGAGCGCATCTTAGCTTTTTCTAGAAAATTGGTAGTTCAGCTAGATCGAGGGCCGAGTTTATATATAAGTATATAGATATATTTCGACTGACGTAAAGAAAATGCCTTTTCGATATTTATCGATATTCAATATCAACAAAATTGATTTACGTATTCTCTATATTATACACATATATACCGCATTTCCAGTTGCCATTCGTTGCGAGGTATGCTTAAAATGTTTGGGTGTAAGTCGATATTTATCGAATTCAAGAAGAGATGTCATGTAAGAAAGACTTGGCAGTTACAGCTCGTATAAGTCACAATATAAGTTTTCCCAGAGAGCCTAGACTCCAAATCGATATCTAGCGATAGGCTGGAAACGGGAAAAGTAATCGATAAAAAAGAGCATTGTCTCTGACAGAAACAGCATACCCCATTTTGAATTTGCACAGAGTATGACAAAAAATGAAGAGAGAGAGCAACATGAACAAAAAAAAAACGCGATTTAATTTTATTTGCAGCAATAAAGCCGCAAATTCAATTTTCGCCTCAAAATTGACTAACATTTCTCCCCTCTCTCTCTCTCTCTCTCCCTCTCTCCCTCCTTCAATGTCTTGCAGGTGCTGTGTAACACGGGCGGACTCGAGCAGATACCGCTGCGCCAGCTGCCGGCAACCGTTGAGAATCTGGCGCTGACCAAAAACAACTTTCCAATCATCAAGCCGGACTCGTTTGCCGGCCTGCGTGCGCTGAAGAAGCTCTCGCTGGACGGCAACAATATCACACGAATCAAACAGTTCGCGTTCAGGGGACTGCCCCGGCTGCGGGAGTTATCCATACAGTATACACCGCTTCAGATGGTGGCGCAGTTCGCGTTCGCGGGTTTGCAGAATCTGTCGACCATATTGCTCAGTCACAATCAGATCCAGCGGATCGAGGGCAATGCATTTGCGGGCACCTCGAACATAAAGCTGATATTGTTGAGCAACAATCCGCTGATACGGATCGAGAGTTCGGCCTTCTCCAGCTTGACGAATGTGGGACATTTGATATTGCCATCGGGCATCAGGAGCATCGAGCAGGACGCCTTCTTTGGCATGGATGCGGTCGGGCTGCTCAAGCTGGCCTACATGGATCTGAAGGAGATTTCGCCGTTCACCTTTCGCGGTCTGTCCAATGTGCTGCTGTTGACGCTCCAGGAATCCGATTTGGGCGTCATCTGTGCGGACGCCTTTACGGGCCTCACCCAGGTGGAGACGCTGCAGATACTGAACAACAAGATCGACTCAATTGAGGAGCTTAACTTTACAAATACGGCGGCCATCAAGCATCTCAAGTTCCATGGCAATCATGTGCTGGAGACGCCCGATCCGAATGCCATCATTGTCGATGGCGTTGATCATCTGCAGCTGGTGAACAATCATTTTCCCTGCGGCTGTCACATACACACCCTGCTCGACGGGCCCCTTGCCGAGGGTGCACACAATCTGAGCGATTTTCTCCAGAAGAACTACTGCATCTCGCCGCTGGAGGTGAACGGACGGGTGATGAGCGAACTGGATATCGATGCGATCGGACGCTGTGCCGATCAGCTGACCAAGGGCAATCTTGGCTCCTCGGCGGCCAGCCTGGCTCTGGGCCTCAATGCCATGCTACTGATTGCCGTTGCCAGCTGTGTCGAGTGGCGATATGCCCGCCTTCTGGCCGCCCGGCTTGCCCAGCTGCTCAGCCACAGTCACATCGCCTGGCGTCGCCGCCGGAAACGCCGACGGCCCAATTAAGCAGCCACACACTGAGAAGGCAGGGCGGCGCGACAGAGAGGAAGAGAGTTGAAACCCGTTTGTACTTGAATCTATTTCCCGCTTAAAAAGTAAGTAAGTCCAAAAAGTAAATAGAATAAATCCCATTGCAACTGTACCACCAAAAGGCCTACCCTCCCTGAATGCAGTTTGATTTGAACGCTAGCTAGAATATTTCCAAGTCATAAACTAAACGTTAGATATCCCTCTTTATACCCTTACAGAGGGAATTCTAATGCTGTCGTGAAATGTGTAACGCATAGAAGAAGATATCTCCGATCCCATAAAGTATATATATTCTTGATCAGTATCAATAGCCGAGTCCGTCTGTCCGTCTGTCTGTTTCTATCTTCTAGCTATCTTCATGAAACTTTGCAGAAGTGCTTCGTTCTGTTGCACGCAGTTCATATGTCGGAACCAGCTGGATCGGATCACTATATCATAGCTGCTATAGGAATGATCGCTCGAAAACGGGCAAAGCATAAAGAAGAGGTTTGGTCTGCAAGGGTATTAAATGTTCGGCGTGTCGAAAATAGCCCCTCTTTCGCGTTAATGACACTCTAGTTTCTATTCTCATTTTCCATTGGTTTATTATTATTCATTTAATTTGCTAGACAGTGCTGAACTAAAACTCAGCTTGTGTGTTCAAAAATGAGCTTGTTCACAGTAAGAAACTTTTGAGCAGAGAATATTTCAATTCAAGTATGCATATAGAGGACAAATCAAGGTTGTGAACTGATGAGTGCGAATAATAAGGCCGGAACGTTCGTTCAAATTGTGAACCGAACGACTGAGTTGATTTTTGCGTTGGCTTGCAGCCCTGGTCGGGATGTTGGAATATGGCGTAAAACAATATTTGTCATATATTTAATATTTAGTTGAATTTTATGGCGTGAACGACGTGAGTCTTTTGAGGTTCTCATAATTCTTATAATAACTAACTAACTATTAAAAGCAACTATTTTTATTTGATTATTTATTTACTTATTGACATTTGTATTGCTTTAGTTACTAAACAGAGTCAGATTGGCAGATCTGAGGGCTGGATGCATCTCATTCAAACATCATCTTGTCTCTTTTTTTTTGGGAACTGCTAGCTAGTCTAGTTTTTGGCCATGTTCTCCATTTGATTTTCATTTGGCTTAAAACCTTTGGCTCGTGCTGCTGATGTCACAGCTCTGGCAGGCGTTGCTTTGGTCAGCTGCTTATCGCTGCTATCACACGGCCATTCACTCGACCCTAATGGGCCCCTGTTCGGGCACAAAGGTGTGTGTGTGTGTGCCCATATACCCCGTGCAGCATACCCTGTACACATTGCCATCAATTTTTACGTTTCACTTGAAATGCAAATGGAAAATGGTTTCAATGGTTTCTCTAGCTCTTGCTCTCCCTCTCTCCCTCCTTGCCTCTCTCTCTCGCCTTTCTCATCTTTAAATGCATTCGGACAGCAGTTGCAAAAAAAAAAAAATTCGTGGCATTCATCGTCATATTCCGAACCGTTAGCCAAATCCAAATCCGTAACCGGTTTTTGTTGCCCCCTCCACCCACCCAACCCCTTCCCATTTTGTTTTTATTTCGGGTCAGCCCGGACTGTTGGCTGTTGGCTTTTGGCTCCGACACGGGCCGAAACCAATTGAACTGCAGCCAGCCTTAAAGGCAGCCTCGGATGCTGCAGCTTCAACAGTTTCATTGTGCTGCTGTGGCATCACTTAAAGTGCTGCAGGCTCAGCTGGCGGCGGCGACGGCGTGTCGGAGAGTGGCACCGAAGGGGCAGAAAAGGGGGGAGGGGCGGGAAGGGGCGTCTATGGGTTAGCATACAAAACGAATACGGAAATTACAAATTCTATTCACTCGCAACGGCATTGAGGGAGCGCTCTAATTCGTTGCTTCAACTTGTCCCTGCCCCACCCACAAGCCAGCCCCTGCCACACACACACACCAACACACACACACACAGCTGAAACTTTTGGCTAGCTAGAGCGAGCTGTATACTAGGCTGCGGAAAGGCAATGCTCCGGCGGGTCTATTCTTTAGACGCTTATCGCAAAGGATTTAGATTTATCTAACTTGATTATGATGCTAAGCATTGCGCCGCACACACACACACACACACACACACACACACTCGCACACACACATTCGCCGGCTACTTGACTGAGTGATTTTGGCCCCCTTCCCCACCAACAAATGCTCAGAGAAATCATTGAAGGAAATTAAAACTTTGTTTACTTTCGAGTCCACTTCTTGCAATGCCAGACACGCCCCCATTTGCCCACACCCAACTGCCCACTGCCACGCCTGCATTTAAGGGTATAACTGAGCATATTATAAATTGCTGATACAATTTGACAGTTGGCATAATATGCTACGAGTAAGCCTTTTGTGCAGGCGCAACACAAATCAAAATTTCACGAATTGTAGCACTATTTAATATTTATTTAATAGTCTTTTTATCTGAGCTCACAAATTACAAGCTCCGACATGCTTCTATTCAAGATTGAAGCCCTTTTTGGCAGCAAGCCGGTTCGAACCTTGAAATGCCATATTTCATTTAACATTGAAGTTAACTCTGAGCTAAGTCGCAAATCTAAACGAACCTATATTTATTTGTATTACCTTTTACTGACTGATTGACTAATTTACTGGCCGATTGATTGACAGACATATTGATCAACTGTCTGTGACTGACTGCCTGAGTGATTGATTGACTGATGGAGGGACTGACCAATTGACAGACTAGAGGGCTGATTGAGTTACTGATTGATTGACAGACAGATTAGGTGACTGATTGATTGACAGACAGATTGATCAACCGACTGACTGGTTGATTGATTGGTAGCTGCTAGAGTGATTGATTGCCAGTTTGAGCGATTGACGGACTCGAGCACTGACTGATTGATTGACAGACAGATTGACCAACTGACTGACTGGTTGACTGATACAATGGCTGCTACAGAGATTGACTGCCTGCTTGAGCGATTGACTGACTGATGGAGGGATTGAACAATTGACAGACTCGAGGACTGATTGATTGTTTAAATGATTGAGTGACTGATCGGCAAATTGATTGATTGACTGACTGATGGCGTGAGCGTCTTATTAACTGACTGACTGATTGACCTTAATCGGTTAAGGGTATTTGGTCGGCAACATGCTAATAGTTTCATTCTATTTGGCTTTTGTTTAGCAGCTGGTTTTACATATTCGCTCCCCACCCCCTACACACTGCCCCCTTGCTGAGCACACATAATATGGCAATTTATTTAATAAGTTTGGCATTTGGCTAATTGAAGAATTTTGGCCCAGAGCATGGTACGGCTTAAAGCCTTAACATGGCGGCCGTAGCTGCATTTAAAGTGGGCGTCCCCATGCCCCATGATAGGCGTGGCAGTGCGTTAGCTTAAAACACGTTCGCGTGTTTGAACCGCACGTGGCTGGGGCACGATTTCTGTCACTTGGCTCCTCATGTCCGCAGATCGTTAACTTAATTGTTCCGCTTGAAATCCAAAAACTGTTGTCCACCATTGTTGCGACTGATAGTCACAGCTCCCCCCTCCCCGCCCCTACCACTCGCTCGCCTAGGCCAAGAGTCGCGGCAGCAATGCAATAAAATTGGCGTGACTAACTGTAGTGGGCGGGCCTTTAAGCCTGGTCACACTGCACAGACGCACGGACGCTGGACACACTGGACGGGACGGCAGCCGTGCGTGCCGCTGCCGACGTCGCTGCTGACACGGCGACGACGACGTCCTGCAATCAGCAAATGGTCGACCGCAGCAAAAGTCGCGTAATTAACGCGAGGAACGCTTCGACTGCCCGCCCCCCGGCCCCAATCGCTAACGCTGCGCCCCTCTGCCACCTCTTTTTGCCAACAAGTCGAGTCAAATTAAAGCTTGACCCCCACACCCCTTACCCCTTACCCCGCCCCCAACTCCCTTCACATTCCCTATTCCCCTAGCCACAGCCCAACGGCCAACTGGCTGTCCATCAGCTCGTCAGCCCTTTTATAGCTGTGAGAAATTTAGCCGAAAGTCGCGACAAAAAATAGATTTAACTAAATTTTAGCAAATGGTCGACTAGCAGCTACCCTGCAAAAATTCTGGCAGCTTATATTCGAAAAAGGTTTACTTTTTAACATGGCATCGCATATTTCAGCTACAAATGCAGAAAAGTACGCTAACTAACACTAGGCACGACTGAAAAATACCCTGTAAATAGCTGTTGCAACAAATCAAAGTCTAAACACTTTAAACGGAATTTATGTGAAATATTTGACCAGCTAATAAAAAAAGCTCCACTAACTGAATGCACGACTAGCTGCTACCCTGTAAATAAATTGGAAAGCTATAAGCACTTGTATAATAAACTTGGAAATAATTACTTAAATAAGAATTAGCTGTAAGTGCTTTCGCGTTTGCACACAAGCCAATGCACGACTAAAAATACCCTGTAAAGTGTTGAAATGCCTAAGACTTACAGTCCATCCCTTGAAAAGTGAATGAATCATAATACTATATAAATACTACTACTATATAGTCCAGCATACCCTTTTTGCATCCTCAATGCAAGGTATAGGAATCAAACGAACAAACAGTGAATCAGTTACAGCAACAAAATCGGGCTATTCGCACGAACTCATCAAAGTCTAACAAGCTGAACATGCTCGAAATACTTAAGCACGACTCTAAGATACCCTGTAAACATCGAGCTACAACAATTAAAAGCTCAAGTGATTTTTGCATAGAAATCAACATTGAATAATGCGATTGAGTGGGAGAAGAGCAAAGTTTCGAACTACCGCTGCAGCAAAGCGTACAGGGTATTATGAACACACAGAAAGTGAATGGCTATCAATAAAATGAGCGGCAAAAGTGAAACTCAATGGAAATTGTAAGCGACAATCGCAACGCAGCGAAATTGAAAAGGCCAAGAAAGCAATCAAATAGATGAGAGCAGGGTAAAAACCAGCAGCACGAGCAGGA